AGTAATATAATCACTTGCCACCATCACTTGGTACATTTTCCCTTGTGAGCAAGCTTTACGGGTCTTAGGGGAAATGATGATTTGTTCCTGACAAGTCCATACTAACAATTAGGTGTAGGAGGAAAATTAATGGAGACTGTGAACAAGGAAAGTTTAAAGAGTGCATCCGCTTGCCAATGCTATGATGTGACATAAAATTAAGGAAGTCATGGTACTATATGTAACACTCTGAATGATACAGACTCTGGTACTCAGACTAAGACCAAAGCCACATTTTTCACTCTTATCATTAGAACTGCACTGTTACCTGTCAGGCAAACTAAACAAATCCAAGGCCAAACATGGATGACAACTGCAAAATCATAATTTAAAAAGCTCCTTTTAATACTAATAGTCTATTAGATGTGTGGGTGAGCACACCTTTGACTAGAGGAATAAAAAAATAAAAAGGAGGGGAAGATAGGGAAATGGCTTGAGCATCATCCCTGTAAAGAAAGGAGGATGTACAAGTTAGTTATGTAACAGATTCTGACTTTATAAATGAGGACATAACTACCCTGAAAGAGAACATGACATTTTATTAGCCACTTTCTTGCCATTTCCTAACATTACATATAGACAACTTCCTGAGAGGAAAATTAAATTTCTAACAAAGTAACTTTAACAAATGACAGAGGAAAAACGTCTGTAATAAGCTAATGAAGATTTATAATTGCATACTGTAAGTACTTATACTCAAAGAATGCCAATTATCTAATTGGCAGAACTCATACTGGCTGACATATCAGATTTGATACACAGTGAGAAAAAGCAAACATTCATTTACATAACTGTTACAAATGAGCAGAGCAACCTGGAGAACCTCTTAGGCTCTTAACCTTTTCCTCACATTAGACTTTCCAGACAAACACATCTGACTCTAAGGGGAAAAATTAACACTCACGTCTGGGAATGCTACTCATGTACCACAAATTAAAAAGGAAAAAGACAAGATCAATTAAAATGCTTCATAGTTCAAGCTCAGCAAAGCAGAATCTCCTCTCCTTTAGAGTGGTACCACTCTAGACTAGTAGGTTCACCAAGAATGAACCTATCATCAAGCACCAAAATTAGTGGACTGTTTTGGAAAGCACTGACTTTGAGTAAAAGCAAACTTTGCATCCTCCCATTCAAGAATGATAGGCATAGCATTAATAACACTTACCAGCCAGAAGGGAGCGCTTAGCTTTCAACATGGTGTTAAATGCTACCTGTGCTTACAGTTAGGTACCACACCAAACTAAGCTAATCATCGACATGATATTTTTCCAAATTCTGTTCACATTTCCTATTAGAGACTAAAATATACCTATCCCTCTTAAGCATCTTTCACTATTGTTTGTGTTCTACCAAGATACACAGATAATAACTGGAGGAATAAAAAAGGAAACTACTTTGCTAAATAAATCATTAAAAGCTTTCAATATCCCAAAATAAGGACATTCCAAAATACTGTAATGCTGACATTATACAAAGTGACAAAAGCGCAGTAAACAAGTTGATTAAGATTATTTCCATATATATAGGTATGAGGAGGGGAACAGGTATAATTTTAGCCACTTTGGTCTCAGGAAATACAGAGAATGCTGAAGACGTGTATCTCAAAATGTAGTACCTGAGATAGTCGTGGGGGCCCACATCTTTCCACAATAGCCTAAAGAAAAGTTAGGCTGTTGCTCCTGACCATGTTCACTAGGCGCTATTTTGGGGTCCAAGGGCACATCTAATAAAACCAAACTGCATCTACTGTACTAGAAGAGTACTCTTGAAGCTGTAGGTTCACAAACAAGCCATTAAGATTGTAGACAAACTGGAATTAGTGAACTAGACCAGAAAATGATGACATTTGTGAATGTACTCATCCCGGTTGCTGTCACCTCTCATGTCTCACACCCTAGCTCAGATTTGATTCTCCTCCACCAAACTTCAAGTTCTTTTGCATTTTTCAAAAAAACCCTCACTGTTCTAGCTATTGTGTATCTATGCATACTTCCCTCATGTGCTGAGCATGGAGACACCATTATTCCAGAAGTGTATCCTTACTGCCTAAATCGTGTTACTGGGCCCTACTGTTATATACATCAGTTTAAAGACAAAGGTGTTTATTTTATGAAGTACCAAGAGCTTTTAATAAATGAATGAAAATGCATGTGGATAGATATGAGTGGCAAACAGGCAGTATGAGTACAAAATGTGGAAAACAATATGGACGCATATATCAGTCAGATGCAAAAAATGTGGATGTTGAATGGCCAGACTCAGCAAATACAGATAATTAGGTAGTATTTAGTTTATGCAAAAAACCCAAGTAATACCAGGAAATTACTGAAAAGGTGCTCCAACACATTAATCAGGAAAGAAACAGTTATTGTTCTTTTTTTAATATGAACTTCTAAAGACTAACACAATGTGCAGCTGCGTGTAGGAAGATAAACAGGATGCTGGATTGAAGGACTGTATGCATACATGATAAAAAGCAATGGTACTGTTGGTACTACAGATGTCATTCAATATGTCTCTGTATGATATTGCCTAGACAAGAAAGCTATAGTTTGGCTAGTAAATTACCACTTTATAACCTGCTTAGTCCAACGAATTGGCCCAAGAACTACTGAGAACTACAGCTGCTCTGCAGCAATTCCCATCTTTCTGATCTAAAATCCTTCATTTGTGATACACTCAAAGGCACTATATTTAAAATAGGAAATTATTTTTGCCATACTGGTTTTAAATAAATAATGATGGAAGCTTTACCTTCCTGCAGAAAGCCCCAAGTCCACATGTGTATTGTTATAAAAAAGACCACTAACTAGGAAAGTACCTAAAAGCAATGAAGTAATACTATAGAGTTTAGAGGGAGAATAAATAAAGGTCACTCCTTAATATTTTCCCCAAAATTTTATCCATAAAGCAACTCTGAGGGAAGAATGAGAATACACATTATCTTCATTTTTCCCCCCAGTACTTTTGTCTATTCCATCCCTTTCCTCTCTAAAATAACCTGATGCTCTTGGGACAGCTCCAGCTATAGGCTAGAGGAAGCAACCAGTAAAAAGAGCAAAATCCTCAGGAAGTGCTAGACACAGTGCAGATGTTTGTTTTCCCTATAGCAGAATCTTAAAAATCTGAGCTTACTACCAGTACCATGCCTGACCATCACATAGGAGCAAGCTGAGGGTAGAACCTCACCCTCAGCTTGGCCTTCCCAAGTAAGCCTGTCTCATGGCCATTCTCGGGAGACAAATTCTGTTCTGTCTCTGCAGCTGAGAAATCTTGAACTGGCTTTGGATGTCCAAAGAAATAGCTAATCAGGAGCCTGGTTAGCGAGGTACTCTAACAGGAAAAATTACTTAAACTTTTCTTGAAAACGCTGTTTATATGAATCAAAATACTTTGTTTAAATACTGTATTTAAAACATTTTTGCTTAAACTTTGCAAATGGACTAGCACAAGAAGCTTGCTTTTGAAAAATTTTGTTTTTAACACAAGTTTCAGATGTGAGATGCGGCAGCTATATGCAATATAATCCCTATGAAATGGCAAAACCAGAGTGACTCACGTTGTTTGGTAGCAGAAGAAACAATCACTTAACAGAATCAATTTCACACATTCTGTCTGAAGGTATGTTTGGCCCTGGCAGTCTAACAGTTGTATAGTAAAATTTTTGTAGCTTTGATATAAATATGTCCACTGAAGAGAGGCTTTTTATTTGAGAAGCGGTTTTCTTAAATGATTTGAGTATCTGAAAAACAAGGCTGTCATTTGCAGAAGGTTTTATTATATTAAGGACTGCCAGAAATAACTGGCTCTTACAGCAGGAAATTTGGAGCAGCTGAAGGTAGTTCAAAATAACACAGTTATCTAAAGCAATTTCTTTTTTCCTTCCTCTCTTTAAAAGGAACTTCACGGGAAGACAGACTTGCAGTTCAGCACCTTAAATTTTAGATAACACCTCTTTAAGAACATTTCAAATATAAGTAATATAACTTTCTTACATTTACTGAAAAAAACAAAAGCTTTCTCATAAAGCAGCTGCTTGGTTCACCTTTGGCTTGATGTTTGTCCTGGGACAAAAAAGGAAAGCTTCTGTGCACATTAAAAGCAACGAAGCCTCTAAGTTTTACATTTAAGAGTTCCCTGATTTTTCAGGTAGTGACTACATATTCTACAGCTTTGCAGATACTAACATAGCTTTAGGATTTGTGAGCAACATCTAAATTCCCATTAGACAATACTTAAGACTTTTCAGGAAATCTGGCAGACAAAATGTAAACTCATGAAGTCTTGTCTTCCTGATTTTCAAACAGACAATAATAATCCGAAGGAAAGTATGGACTGAACTCTCACCTAAACATGTATTATACATGAATTCTAGTAGTGACAATTTAGAAGTCAGTGTAATACTATTCAGCATTTTCATTAAAAACTTTAGTTTGGTATGTAAATTCAGCAATGACGATGGCTAGAGAAAGGACAATAGTAAAAACTGCTTGCTATAGAAATCTATGGTGCAAAACCTGTTTCACAGTCTTTCACAGCAACTCTTCCATTTAATGTCATAAAGGTGAAAACCAGGATGAGAGTTGAGACTTACTCACAACAGGAGAGAAAACTGAACACTGTTCCCTGGAAGGGACACCAAAATACTAACAAGCCAACTAAAGCAACTACTTAATCACAGATGAGAGAAGCAGCTAGTTCAATATTAATATGAGAATGGACAACAAAATATACACTGCTGTTTCCTCACTTTTATTAAATGACATTTTCCCTGAAATAAAAGAAAGGTTACTATATTGCTATGAAGCCAAAAATTATAGCTTTTTAAGTTTCTGTTAGCAAAAAAAGAGGCAATAGAACTCTTATATTGGAGCATTTATCTGCAGAATTGTGAAATTCCTTAAAATCCACCTTAAGGGTCTTTGAAGCATTCTCATTTAAGGCACCATACATTTGCTCACCTATTCAATGACGGCAGAAGTGAAAGCAATGCCAAAGCAGAAAGTTTTCTTCTTTCTGGCTGAGTGATGTTATCCATCCGATCAACCCACATTTCAATCATGTTACCAAGAATTTGGTCCAACTGCAACGGGAAACAGAACATTCCTTTTCATTTATGAGTATTTCAGCATATTTAGAAAATAATTTATTTTAATTTTTCTACCAACTGAATACATTATTCTATCTGAGAAAGACACCATACAGTTAGGTACACCTGACAGCATTAGCAAGCAAGAGGTATTTTTTCAATTTTCTGTGACAGTGCTTCCAGGCCCTGAATCTGCCTCACCATTAATTGCAGCCAAGAAGTTAGAAATGCATTTAACTCATGGACAAAACACTGATTCAGAACAGTGCATTACTGAAACAGTTTTCCTATAATAGCGTAATAAATACAAAGCATGCGAACTGACTCTGTTTTACCTTCACTGGTGACAAATAAAAAAAAAAAAAGGCTTGTCTTTACCTGTTTGAAAACTGTATTATACCTAAGAAACTTTCCAAATTTTACTTAAAGACATAGTAGAACGCTTGTAGCAAAAGAACCTCAGTAGCCTCATCAATGAAACCAGAGCACACTGAACCTGATAAGCCCAGAAACTCACTGGAGAATGATTTCAAACATAGAATCATTTAGGTTGGAACAGACCTTTAATATCATTAAGTCCCACCATTAACCTAACAGTACCAAGTCCACCACTAAACCATATCCCTAAGCACCACGTCTACACGTCTTTTAAGTACCTCCAGGGATGGTGACTGAACCACTTCCCTGGGCAGCCTGTTCCAATGCTTGACAACCCTTTTGGTGAAGAAACTTTTCCTAATATCCAATCTAAACCTCCCCTGGAGCAACTTGAGGCCATTTCTTTTCGTCCTATCACCTGTTACTTGGGAGAAGAGACCAACACCCATCTCACTGCAGCCTCCCTTCAGATAGTTGTAGAGCAATAAGGTCTCCCCTCAGCCTCCTTTTCTCTGGGCTAAACAACCTCAGTTCCCTCAGCCACTCCTCATAAGACTTGTGCTCCAGACCCTTCACCAGCTTAGACTATTACCCCTGGTGCAAGACCCATCAAGGAAAGAGACTCTCACCCTGCCATACCATGCAAACTAAAGGGGTTTATACGGCTTATTGTGGGATGCAGCAGGAAGAGAATTTGGAAAGTGTACAAAACTTTTAATGAGATGTTTTAAGGTAATTGTGAGAACATGTAAAACTTGTTTCAGGATGTTCAGGTGAAGGACCAAAGGCAGAGAAAGGGCCCCTTTCCAAGGTAGACTGGGGAGGAACAAGCATGGAAAACAGATGGAAAAGTTCTTTCAAGTCAAAAGAATGCAAGACTTCCACATGCAATCCAGATGAAATACCATGATGAAAATCCTTACCTCCTGACCCAATTCACATGCCATCTGGCTCAAAAGTAATGAAAAAAAACTTGCATTTTGTAGTAGAACTCTACCCATGATCCCCAGATAAGTTGACATCACCACTGGGTATCTCTGAAACAAAAGTAAACCAAAACAAAGGGGGCTTAGTTTGATTAAGAGAAAAATACTTAACATATAAAGCAGAAATACATGGAAAATACTTGCATGTATCCTTTATATATTTTATTAAATTTGAAATTATAAATTGTAATTTAAAAGCCTTTAAGAACACAAGACCAAGTGAGCAATCATTACCAGAGTTTCTCAATTCTTACAATAGGAAAACTATGGCAATCTCAAAGTCAGTTTCCTCCAAACAGCCAAGACAACTTGAAAGGTGATTTTACTTTAAATTTTAAAACCTGCATCTTAAGGAATAAACAGTATATTATACTGATAAAAGATTACTTCCAAAGTTGATTATGGTTCTCTCTTGTCTATACTCTCTCTATATATTCTATAGTCTAGTTCTCATCAGTGGCTGCTTTTTGCTTTTGCCGCTTGCTCTACTGCTTATTATCTTACTCTGCTGTGCCTGGAACATTCTGATAACAGCAATGGCCATGTGCCTGGGCTGGCAGATGGCCAGGGCATCCCTGTGTTTCTGTGCTGCTGTACTGGACAGGCTGGAACTCCAGTGTGAACTTTGAGTCGCTGTGGATAAACCTATGCAGGTTTGCCCCTGGAGAGACTGTGGCTGATAGATCAGGCTCCACTTGGAGCAGGTACACCCTTAAGGGACTGCAGTCTGTGGATAAATCTAAGCTGGAGCACAGGCAAGGGGAGGAGTTCATTGCAATGTTAAACCCAATGGTCTGGCCCAAAGGGATCAGGGGTGAAGATTGTTATGGAAATACCTTTAAATTGTTGTAACCCATGATTTGAGTTGCATGTTATAGGAATTACTATAGCAGGAACCACCTGAACCAATAAGAGAACGAGCCTTACAAGAAGCAGTGCAAGTGCAGCAGTGACCTGACCTGACCTGAGCTGGCTTTGGTGCCCAGTAACTCCACACAACACACCACTTCTCCTGTCCTGAGTGACCACCATAAGATATGGAGGCCAAAGTCATGGACTAAATTAACTCAACTGAAATTTTGTGGACATTTCTGGACATTTCACAGGGGCAGTCCAGAGACTAAGGGAATGATATGTATGGGGCTATGTTTTGGATTTGTGCTGAAAACAGTGTTGATAATTCAGGGATGTTTTCATTATTGGTGAGTAGCACTTACACAGAGACAGTGGTTTTTCTGCCTCTCACCCCACCCCACCAGCGACTAGGCTGGGGGTGCACAAGGAGTTGGGAGGGGACACAGCTGGGACAGCTGACCCCAACTGACCAAAAAGGACATTTCCAGACCATAGGACATCATGGTCAGCATATAAAGCTGGGGGAGGAAGGAAGGGAGTTGTGTTTGGAATGATGGTGTTTGTCTTCCCAGGTAACCATTACACATGATGGAGCCCTGCTTTCCTGGAGATGGCTGAACACCTGCCTGCGGATGGGAAGCAGTGATCAAATTCCTCATTTTGATTTGCTTGTATGCACAGCTTTTGCTTTACTTATTCAACTGTCTTTATCTCAACCCATGAGCTTTCTCACTTTTAGTCTTCCTATTCTTTCCCCCATCCCACCAGGGGGAGTGAGTGGCTGTGTGGGGCTTAGTTGCTGGCTGGGGTTAAACCACAACAGGTTCAGAATTACCGTTTACAATTTCAGTAACATTAAGAAGTGCTTAGTGTTTCTGAAGTTGTTGTTACTTACTTCACTGATGGAAACTGAAATACATCTGCCAATAACTAATTTGCAAGTGTCTCAAAATTAACTGGATATATAAGAAGCTCATTAGTTTATTATCTTTTGTTATTACTTTTAATTTTAAAAGAAGCTACAGATTTCTTTAAATTCAGCATCTAACAATATAACATAAGTGTTTTGTAGAATTGCCTACTTAAAAAAAAAAGCCAAAATTTACCTGAAAACGATTACCCAGATTAATACCTCTTTGAATAGGGAGCACTGAATTTATTACAGTCTTAAATCAGAAGATATTTTAGTAATCCACTATCCGGTTTTGTGTCTTCCTAAACTGCAAACTGTTCAAACAAACTGTCTTTTTTGTGTTCTGTACAGCAAGAAGTACATTGCTAAGTAGTATTACTTGGCTTAATCTTGGAAATATCTTACTTAACTCAATAATAATGGGAAACAAATATTGATAGCTGAAAGTCTTCAAGTCTAAAAAAGGCAAAGGTTTTGATCAAAAAAGTCAAAAGCATAGAGAGTTCCACCCACCGATTCTGCTCATTAAAGATTTTTTTTTTCTCCTGCTAGTACTGCCAGGTTCACCACAGTTAAAGCATATTGGATTTTACTCCTTTTTATCCAACATGGAAATTTGTTGAAGGCAAAGAGAGAGAAAAGGAGAACTTAAGACATCTAAGCATGCAAAATCTTAAAGCCTCTTCTATCTCACACAAAGCATTCTCACATCCTTCAGCTCTTCATATTAGACATGTCAATTAGAAAAATCTCCTTGTCCAGTTTGTTTTTCTCTGGTGCAGGTACACTTAAAAAGGACTAGTATAAGTGTCTTTAAAAAACCCCAACAAAAAACTCCAACAGCTACAAAGGATCTAACTAAGCACAGAGTCATAGCACCTTATAAGTGTTAATAGTGAAGGAACGGCAGAATAAAATTTATTTTACTATAATAAACACTAGATAACAAAATTAAGTGATGGATATCTTGCTTTAACTCCTGCACTACTATGTTACTTTTACAGACTTTTAAAATAGCTGTCAAAGATCTATCAGATGCTCTTAAAACAAGAGAAAATGCAGTATCAATGAGAAAACTGGGCCAGATAACAGAAGGTACTTTCCTGTTCAAAAGGAAAAGTAGAGAGTAGTTAAAGAGTAACTCTTACCTCCCCATCTAAAATCCCCCTGAATATTGATGGCAGAAGGGGTTGAAACATTTGAGGACCCAAAACAGGATTTACTTTTAGGACATTTTCCACAACCTTAAGAACAAAACCAAATTAGACAATTAGTAAAGTGCATTTAAAAATCTTAACTGCAGCTTTAACACTACTTATACTGGTCTCTATAGAAAGTCCTGGTAGGATGTTTACAATTAAATACCGGCAATTGCTGAATGTATATTCTAGTGAAGTACCCTGCAAACCTGATCTGCACAACGGACCTGATAAAACTGACATGCCAGGTGAAACCCACCTAGCCAAGCACTTCCTCCACAGACTCCTCCTAGACCTGGCAAAGCTGATGAGGTGGGTTGGAAGGAAGGACCTTGATAAGGCTCCAGAAAAGCAGCTTGATTAGGTGGGTTGGGAGGCAGGAGTACCAGCAGTTTAAGGCTCATTTCCGTACTTTTGTCCTGTCACTGTTTTGAAGAACCATTGATTAGGACCTACCATCTCCTTTCAAGTGAGCAAGTAACCACAAGTGCTCTCAGATGTGCTATTCTCAGTACCCTGCTCTGGTTCCCAGTTTTTACATTCTTTACCCTTTGATTCTCAGCTCTTTCCCCCCCACCCCATGAGCTGTTCCCTGAAGTAATTTTTTTTTCCTTTGTTCTTCAGGCTTTCCTTTGCTCAGCTGTTTGGGCTCTCCCCTTGTACCAAGATGCAGAGGGGAAGAGGCTGTGAGAATAATGGGCTGATACCTGTTCACTCCTATGGGTAGTAAGGACAGAGACCACACACCTATACACTGATGTGTATAAAGCATATAAAGGTACCATAAAGGTACCTCCCTTAAATACTCTTCTCAGTCTCCACCTACTTTCAGCTCAGAGGGACTTCCACAAGGAACTACTCTTCTGCGCTCTTGTAAATCTTTTTTTCTTTTTGAACCGTGTTCCTACTAGCTTCATTTAATGACCTCTACTTCTTGCCTTGAGAGAGATGTTAAGCAGTTGACCCTTTCAATGCCTCTCAAGTTTTGTAGACCTTTAATATACTGTTATACGGAGGTGAACATAAATTTTCTCCCACTCATCTTTTCCGGGTACTGGAAGTTTTGACTAACTCATCTGTTCCTTGTACAGTCTTTTCAAACCTTTTATTCTCTGTCTCAGATAACTAGAAAATCAAGTCGCATCAAGGCTCAGCAATCTTGCGATAAATCGTCTTCTCAGTCCAAAGTAGTGTTTTTCAACCTTACCCATTTATTTACTGTCCTAATGTCTATCTTCAATCCAGCCAAAGCTGTTTGTAGGAAAATATTTCAGAGAACACTCCCGGTGTTTCTGTTCCCAATATTTATCTTAGGGTTTTTTTTGTTTAACAAGTCAGCACAGTGACAACATTTTCCTTTTTGTAAAAATACTTACATGAATTATAGCTCAGTTATCGCCTGGAAGCAAGCAGTCATACTAGGAAGGTGTTCAAAGTATATTGGACAAACCTTGTGGCTAATGCAAGGCCACACTGGGAGCCAAGTAGTTAAAGTGCAGTAGTTAAAGCTGGCAAGTGCAGATGAACCAGGGGATCAGGCTCAGCCAGCATGGGTTCATGAAAGGCAGGTCCTGCCTGACCAAACTGATCTCCTTCTATGACCTGGTGACCCACCTGGTGGATGAAGGGAAGGCTGTGGACGTCATTTACCTAGACTTTAGCAAAGCCTTTGACACAGTTTCCCATAATATTCTCCTAGGGAAGCTGGCAGCTCAACACTTGGATGGGCATACTCTTTGCTGGGTAAAAAACTGGTTGGGTGGCCGAGTCCAGAGAGTTGTGGTAAATGGAGTTAAGTCCAGTTGGAGGCTGGTCACGAGCCTTGTTCTGCAGGGCTCTGTTTTGGGGCCAGCCTTGTTTAATATCTTTATCAATGATCTGGATGAGGGGATTGAGTGCACCCTCAGTAAGCTTGCAGATGACTCCAAGTTGGGCGGGAGTGTCGATCTGCTGGAGGGCAGAAAGGCCCTGCAGAGGGACCTGGACAGGCTGGATCGATGGGCTGAGGACAACTGTAGGAGATTTATCAAGGCCAAGTGCTGGGTCCTGCACTTGGGTCACAACAACCCCATGCAACACTACAGGCTTGGGGAGGAGTGGCTGGAAAGCTGCCTGGCTGAAAAGGACCTGGGGGTGTTGGTTGACAGCGGGCTGAACATGAGCCAGCAGCGTGCCCAAGTCTGGGCACATCCTGGCTTGTATCAGGAGTAGTGTGGCCAGCAGGAGCAGGGAGGTGATTGTCCCCCTGTACTCAGCGCTGGTGAGGCCGCACCTCGACTACTGTGCCCAGTTTTGGGCCCCTCAACACAAGAAAGACATTGAGTTGCTGGAGCGTGTTCAGAGAAGGGCAACAAGGCTGGTGAAGGGTCTGGAGCACAGGTCTTATGACGAGTGGCTGAGGGAGCTGGGGTTGTTTAGCCTGGAGAAGAGGAGGCTGAGGTTATCACTTATACTTATCGCTCTCTACAACTCCCTGAAAGGAGGTTGTAGTG